ATGGGAATACTGAACTAGACGCGGGAGTTGGCCATTTTTCGCTTGATTATGGGTTTCCATATGTTGCGTATCTCTATGCTGGCTTGGCTGAATACATTGTTGGACAACATGTATGCAGCTCCTTTGAATTTCCTCCTTAACCAGTGTCCCTTCTTGTGTATGATCTCAGCTTGCGTCCACTCAATGTTATGATGAAGGGTCCAAACATGCTCTGCTATTCCTGATTTGCTGGTTCCCCCTCGCTGTGTGTGTTTATTGTGCTCGGCAATGCGAACTTTCAATGGCCTCTTAGTTTCACCGATATAGGATTTATTAAGGAGCTCCTAAGTTGTTATTTTTTGTGTCTTCTTTTTCATAAACTTGACTTTTACTCTTTTATATACTCTATTTTAACATAGTTTGTATCCATGCACCATTTTTATTTTAATTACATTTGGTATGTATTGCATTTTTTTTTAAGTATTTACTATCCAAGCTTTGTTTACAAGATTATGTCTTACAATAATAAAGCATATTATTATTATCATTTAGAATTGCATTTACCGGATACCCTGTGAGTGCAGAAAATCCTATATCGGTGAAACTTAAGAGGTCCTTGATAGATAGATAAATATCTATATTTATTTGATCATGTTATTTATAAAATACATTTATGACAAGTCAGAAAAACAAATAGGTGCAAGGTACAAACTTTTCTATAAAATAAAATAAACAGTAAAAATTTGAAATTTGTAACAAGTTTACAGGGTACATTATAACATATTCAAATTAAGTGTGGAGGTTCGGCGAGCATCTTCCTTGCATCAAAAGTGTGTCTATGCACATGTTCTAAATATTATGAAGTGGAATAAAAACAGTTTGTTTTCAAATATTTTTTTGTAACTTTTTTAAAATAAAACATATTCATATGTGCATTATACAATTTAAAATCTTAGGAGTTTTCTTGTGATTTCATCAGCCTGAAACGTTGAGGTCTAATAAAATTGCTGTTACGTATATCATGGTTGTGTAAACTAGATTGCTTAGGAAACAAGGGGGCCATAATAGGCTTGAGTAAATATACAAAGAAGGCACCGACATAATTTCATGAGTGATGAATGATTCACGGCAAGAATCCCTAAAACCGATTCCAGCAAGAATGCTCAGGGCTTTTTTCTGTAATATAAACATGCATTGGGCATCACAAGAATTTCCCCAAAGTAGAATACCGTAAGAAATGCGAGACTGTATGAGCGTAGTGAAACTCGATAGTTTACTTTTCAAACTTGAAATGTGGCTTGACCAATTTAGCCTATTGTCCAGAGTAAAACCTAATAATTTGACACACTGGAATTCAGATAATGGCAGAGCAAACAATCATGTTTTGTGATTTTCCTTATTCATCATGAGTTTGTTGACACTGAACCAGTGCTCTGCTTTTTCTTGTATTTCCAAAGACTTATCAACAAGAGCAGAATAATTCATAGAAGAGTATATCAAGGATGTATCGTCAGCAAATAGTGACATGGCTTCATATAGTTGTAAAAATCATTGATGTAAATAACGAACAAAAGCGGGCCCAAAACCGATGGAGTAGTAGAAAGCC